TTTTTTTTAAAGACAGAATTTTAAACTAATGATTCTCTTACTACTTCAGCTCTTCAGTTTTATGCACCACTGCTCTCAACTTGTTTTGCTTGCTTGTTTTTCTTTTTTTCTTTTTTTTTTTTTTTAATTTTTTGCCAGTCCTGGGGCTTGAACTCCAGGCCTGGGCACTGTCCCTGAACTTTTGCTCAAGGGTAGCACTCTACCACTTGAGCCATAGCGCTACTTGTGGCCTTTTCTGTTTATGTGGTACTGAGGAATCGAGCTCAGGGCTTCATGCATGCTAGGCTAGCACTCTACCACTAAGTGTCCAGCCCCATGCTTCACCGTATTTTGCTATAGCTTAATTTCATAACTCCTGTCTAGGAATTTTAACATTTTCATGCTTAATCCTTAACTCTCCTTAGTGTTTATACAAAGTCAGTTTTAATGACTTTCCCATTGATTTCTTCCCAGTCAACCACAGAAGCCCCTGTGAAGCGAGCATCTCTGCTGGGTGACATGCATTTCCGAAGCCTACGTACAAAATTGCTACTAATGTCCCGCAACGAAGAAGCTACCAAGCATCTAGAGGTCAGTTTTTTTTGTGTGTGTGTGTGTTTTTGGGGGGAGTCCGGTCGTGGGGCCTGAACTCTGGGCCTGGGCGCTGTCCCTCAGCTCTTCAGCTCAAGGCTAGTGCTCTACCACTTGAGCCACAGCTCCACTTCCTTTTTTTTTTTTTTTTTTTTGCTTTTTTCTTATGTGGTGCTGAGGAATGGAACCCAGGGCCTCAGGCATGCAAGGCAAGCGCTCTACCACTGAGCCACCTTCCCAGCCCTAGAGGTCAGTTTTGGCTCCTCTTCCTGCTAAACAGTATTGTGCTCTTTCTTTCCCACCTTATCTACCATTCATGCTCTTGTATTTATGGAGCAGGATTAAGGCTTTTCTAGTCAATAAACCTAGATTGGCTGTTTTATACTTTTCCAGGTGACAGAGCTGGAGGTTTGTTTGTTGTTTTGTAGTGGTTCTGGGGTTTGAACTCAGGGCCTGGAAGCTATCTCTGAGTAACTTTGCTCAAGGCTAGCACCCTATCACTTGAGCCACAGTGATTCTACTTGTGGCTTTCTGGTAGTTTATTGGAGATAAGAGTCTCACAAGCTCGGTGCCGGTGGTTCACACCTGTAATCCTAGCTACTCAGGAGGCTGAGATGTGAGGATTGCCATTCAAACCCAGCTCCAGCAAAAAAGTCCCCATGAAACTTGTATCTCCAACCACTCAAAAACCATAAGTGAAGCTGTGGTTTAAAGTGGTAGAGCACTAGCCTTGAGCAGAAGACCTCAGGGAGAGTACCCAGGCCCTGAGTTCAAGACACACACACACACACACACACACACACACACACACACAAGAGACACACACACACACACACCCCTACCTTGCCAAGTGCTTATGGATGAGGCCTGTAATACACACACACACACACACACACACACACACACACACACACACACACACACACACACACACACACCCCTAGAGTAGAGTTATGGCTCAAATGTTAGTACACACTAGTCTTGAGTGCTCCCAGTGCTTAAGGACAGTGCCCACCCAGGCCCTGGGTTCAAGGTCCAGGACCAGCAATAAAAGACTTGGGTGCCAGTGGCTCATGGCTGTAATTCTAGCTATTCAGGAGGCTGAGATTTGATGATCCTGGTTCAGAGCAACCGGGCAGTAAAAATTGGGAGAATGGGTTGGGAAGGTGGCTAAGTGGTTGAGTGCTTGCCTTGCATGCATGAGGCCCTGGGTTTGATTCCTCCGCATCATATAAACAGAAAAAGCTGGAAGTGGTGCTGTAGCTCAAATGGTAGAGCACTAGCCTTGAGCTGAAGAGGTGAGGGACAGTGCCCAGGCCCAGAGTTCAGGCCCCACAACCCCCCCCCCAAAAAAAAGGGGGAAAAAGAAGCTGAGCATGTTAACATTACTTAATAAAAATTGGAAAGAAAAAAAACACCTAGTGAAAGGACAGTAAAAGTTGAAAAAATAAATAGCTGAGCATGGGTACATCAATCACTTAAGAGACTGAAGCAATAGGATCTCAAAAACAGCCTGGACTACATACTGAACCTTTGTATTAAAAAAAAAAAAAAAGCCAGCAGCTGGTGGCTCATGCCTGTAATCCTAGCTACTCAGGAGGCTGAGATCTAAGGATTTCAGTTCAAAGCCAGCTAGGCTGGAAAGTTTGTGAGATTCTTATCTCCAATTAACCACCAGAAAACTGGAAGTGATGCTGTGGCTCAGGTGGTAGAGTGCTAGTCTTGAGCTGAAGAGCTCAGGGACAGCACCCAAGCCCAGAGTTCAAGCCCCATGACCGACAAAATAAATAAAAATAAAGTTGGACAATAGTGGTTTACACCTATAATTTTCGCTACTTGGGAGGCTGAGATTTGAGGATCATGGTTCAAAGCCAGCCTGGGCAAGAAAGTCTGAGAGACTCTGATCCCCACTAAATTACAAAAAAAGCCAGAAGTGAAGTTATGACTCAAGTGATAGAAGATTAACCTTGAATAAAAGAAGCTCAGGTCCAGGCACCAGTGGCTCACGCCTGTAATCCTAGCTACTGTGGAGGCTGAGATCTCAGGATTGTGTTTCAAAGCCAACATGGGCAGGAAAGTCTGTGAGACTCTTTTATCTCCAATAGAACCATCAGAAAACTGGAAGTGGCACTGTGGCTCAAGTGATAGATTGCTAGCCTTGAGCTCAAGAGCTGAAGGACCCAGAGTTCAAGCCCTACCACCACCACCAACAACAAAAAGAAGCTCAGAGACAGTGCCCCAGGCCCTTATCTCTAGTCTCAGGACAGGCAAAAATAAAAAAAAACTGAGTAAGCCAGCCACTTGTGGCTCATTCCTATTATCCTAGCTACTCAGGAGGCTGAGATCTGACGATCATGGTTTAAAGCCCGCCTGGGCAGACTTTTTTTGGGGGGGGGCGGGTAATCTGGTCGTGGGGCCTGAACTCTGGGCCTGGGCGCTGTCCCTCAGGTCTTCAGCTCAAGGCTAGCGCTCTACCACTTGAGCCACAGCGCCACTTCCTGGCTTTTTTCTTTTTGCTTATGTGGTGTTGAGGAATTGAACCCAGGGCCTCATGCATGCAAGGCAAGTGCTCTACCACTGAGCCACCTTCCCACCCACCCACCTGAACTCCAATTAACCACCAAGGAAGTGGAGCTGTGGCTCAGGTGATAGAGCTTTAGCCTTGAACAAAAATGCTTAGGGACAGTGCCTAGGCCCTGAGTTCAAGCCCTGGGACTGGCACAAAAATGAAAAATAAAAAAACACACCACTAGTTCACTACTATAATCCTAGCTACTTGAAATGGGAGGTAGGGAAGATCTCGTAGCTCAAGGCCAGTAGAAGGGTTTTTAGGAACCTCTCTCAACTGACAGGAGTTGGTGGCATGTTCCTGTTATTTTAGCTATAATATCTTAAAATAGGCAGATCATGGCCCAGGGCTTTGCTAGGCAAGAAACATGACATTATTTAAAAAATAACTGGTTTAGGGGCTGGGAAGGTGGCTCAGTGGTAGAGTGCTTGCCTTGCATGCATCAGGCCCTGGGTTCGATTCCTCAGCACCACATAAGCTAAAAGAAAGCTAGAAGTGGTGCTGTGGTTCAAGTGGTAGAGTGCTAGCCTTGAGCTGAAGAGCTGAGGGACAGTGCCCAGGCCCAGAGTTCAGGCCCCACAACTGGACCCCCCCCCAAAAAAAATAATAACTGGTTTAAACTAGGTGTCAGTTGCTCACTCTTAATCCTAGCTACTAAGATGGCTGATATCTTAAGATCGTGGTTTGACACCAGCCCAGGCAGGAAAGTCCATGAGAATCTTACCTCCAATTAGCCACCAAAAACCCCAGAAGTGGAATTGTGGCTCATTGGTGATAACCTTGAGCAAAAAAAGGCCAAGGTATAGTACCCGGGCCCTGAGTTCAATCTGAAGACTGGCAAAAAAAAAAAAAATTGGAGCGCCAGCCAGGTACTGGTGGCTGATGACTAACTACTCAGGAGACTAACATTGGAGGATCTGTTTTCAGCTAACAGGGTAGACAAGTTTATAAGATCCACTTCAAATTAACCAGCAAAATATTAGACTGGAGGCATGGCTTATGCAGTAGAGTACTAATTATGAGCAAGCAAACTAAGAGCTTGAATCCTTGAATTCAAGCCTTGTTACTAGCATACACACACAAAGAGTTGGAAGAATGACTCAAATATAGTGCCCATGTAGCTGAGAAGGTGGCTCAGTGGTAGAGCGCTTGCCTTGTATGCATGAGGCCCTGGGTTTGATTCCTCAGCACCACATAAGCAGGGAAAAAAAAGCCGGAAGTGGTGCTATGGCTCAAGTGGTAGCATGCTAGCCTTGAGCTGAAGAGCTGAGGGACAGCACCCAGGCCCAGAGTTCAGCCCCCACTACCTGACCAAAAAAAAAAGAAAAAAGAAATATAGTGCAAGTTTGAGGTCTGGAGTTCAAATCCTAGTACTACCAAAAACGGGGGGATAAAAAACAACATTTTGGTATTTTCTGTAAGACACTAACTAGTAAGTCGTCGTAAGTTTCTTTCCTTCTTGATGCAGTGGGTTTTTTTTTTTGTTTGTTTGTTTTTCGGCCCATAGGGCTTGAACTCTGGGCTTAGGTGCTATCCCTGAGCTCTTCAGCTCAAGACCGGCACTCTACCACTTGAGCTACAGTGCCACTTCCAGTTTTCTGAGTGGTTTATTGGAGATAAGAGTCTCACAGACTTACCTGCTGGGGCTGGCTTTGATCCAGGATCCTCAGATCTCAGCCTCCTGAGTAGCTAGAATTACAAGTGTGAGCCACCAGTATACCCTGCTCTGTGTGTGTGTGCGTGTCTTGGGGCTTGAACTTAGGTGAACTTAGGGCCTGGGCACTCACTGAGCTTTTTTTTTTTTTTTGTCAGCCATGGGGCTTGAATTCTGGGCTTGGGCGCTGTCCCTGTGCTCTTCAGCTCAAGGCGAGCACTCTACTGCTTGAGCCACAGCACCACTTCCAGTTTTCTAGTGGTTTATTGGAGATAAGAGTCTCACAGAGTTTCTGCCTGAGCTGGCTTTGAACCTCGATCCTCAAATCTCAGCCTCCTGAGTAGCTAGGATTACAGGCATGAGCCACCAGCGCCCGATTTTCCTGAGCTTTTTTTGCTAAAGGGTAGCGCTCCACCACTTAAGCCACAGCTCCACCTCCAGCTTTTCTGGAGATAAGAGTCTCATGGACTTTACTGTATAGGCTAGCTTTGAACAGCAATCCTCAGATCTCAGCCTTCTTGAGTAGCTAGGACTAAAGGCATGAACCATCAGAGCCCAGCCAGTGCAGTAGTTTTGAGCACCTAAGTTTGTTTTTTTTTTTGTTTGTTTGTTTTTGTCGGTCATGGGGCTTGAACTCTGGGTCTGGGCGCTGTCCCTCAGCTCAAGGCGAGCGCTCTACCACTTGAGGTACAGTGCCACTTCCGGTTTTCTAGTGGTTTATTGGAGATAGGATTCTCACGGTCTTTCCTGCCCTGGGTTGGCTTTGAACAGTGATCCTCAGATCTCAGCCTCCTGAGTAGCTAGGATTACAGGTGTGAGCCTCCGGCACCCGGCTAGTTTCAGTTTTTTGTTTTTTGTTTTTTGTTTTTTTTTGGGTCCAGTCGGGCCTGAGCTCTGGGCTTAGGCGCTGTCCCTCAGCTCTTCAGCTCAAGGCTAGTGCTTTACCACTTGAGCCACAGCACCACTTCCGGCTTTTTTCTTTTTGTGTATATGGTGCTGAGGAATCGAACCCAGGGCTTCATGCATGCAAGGCAAGCGCTCTACCACTGAGCCAACTTCCCAGCCCCTAGTTCCAGTTTTTTTTTTTTTTTTTTGATGGCTGTAACTCCTATTTGATTCTATCCATTTTGGTAGGAAGCACTGGATTGTAATCTAGAAATATCCTGTCAGATGCTTTTCCTATTTGGTGTGTACCTGGAACCATTCTTTTCAAAACCATTTGAACTATGCTTGTCTTCTTGCCCCTGAGCCCAGCGATCTCCACTAAGGACTCGTTGAGAAGTGATGTAGCACTGTGATGGATATTCCACAGGCACATTTTCTGCATTTTTGAACTCTGATTTTGGGGGGCAGGGTGCGAGAAGGAAGGGTGTTATTGAATTTGGCTTTGCTTGGTTTGTGCTCTACCACTTGAGCTGTAGGTCTTATTTCTGTTTTTTGGTGGTAGAGATAAGAATCTCTTAGTCTGCCAGGACTGGCTTCAAACTTTAATCCAGCCTTCAGAGTAGCTAGGATTACAATGAGTCACTGGTATCCAGCTCTCAATCTGACTTTATTTTAGAAACAAAGCCAGTGAATTGACTTTACTACTGAGCTTGCCTCAAACTTTGAACCTCCATATCTGAGCTTCCTAAATAGCTAATAGATGTGAACCTTCTATCCCCAGCAGCCCATTGCTTTTATTCACCTTGTTGGGCTTGCTTTTTTTTTGGTGGGTCGTGGGGCTTCAACTCTGGGCCTGGGCACTGCCCCTGAGCTCTTCAGCTCAAGGCTAGTGCTCTACCACTTGAGCCACAGTGCCACTTCGGGCTTTTTCTGTTTACGTGGTGCTGAGGAATTGAACCCAGGGCCTTATGCACACAAGCAAGCACTCTACCTCTGAACCACCTTCTCAGCCTTCCCCCTGCCCCCGCTCCCCCCACCATTTCCCCCACCCTCCACCTTTAAAAAAAAAATTCCTGTGCTGGTGTTGGAGGGCCTTACTCAGGCTAGGCAAGCACTTCACCACTGTGCAACATTCTCAGCCCGATTGGTGGGTTTTAATTTTGGGAGGAGTTAATAGTCCTTTAAGGTAAGAAGAGTACCTTACCACCTGCAGGAGTTAGGAACCTAATGAAAAGTAGTTTCATGCCACCTTTATTTAATTCTCTTGCTAGTATTGAGAATGAGGTAGGTCTGGTGTAATGACTTAGCAAGCGATATAGTGTGTGTCTTATTCAGGATATTAGAGCCAAATCCAGAACTGTAGTGGCTCCCAGCCCAAGCTCATTATGTCCCTTATCACCAAATGATTAGTATTTACGACTTCCTGGGTTTGGTAAGCAAAAACTCCACAGTGTTTTTGCAAAGGGTTGGGCTTTTGGAACAGGTGCTCTGAGATTCCACCACCATTATTTCTAAAATATCTTTTTCTTTTAGACAAGCAAGCAGTTGGCAGCAGCATTCCAGGAGGAATTTACAGTGCGAGAGGATCTGATGGGTCTGGCCATTGGGACCCATGGTGCCAACATCCAGCAGGCCCGGAAAGTACCTGGGGTGACTGCCATTGAGTTGGGTGAAGAGACCTGCACTTTCCGCATCTATGGGGAGGTCAGCAAATGTCTTCTGGGTCTGTTAGGGGATAGAGAGAAGTTGAGCTGAGGTGGAAGCATATCTGTACTGGTGGCCTCCACCACCTCCCCTTCTGACTTTGGTGACAGCCGAGAGATCTAAGTCTGCTGTTTCAGTAGCAGTTCCCCACTCTTTTTTCCATAGACTCCTGAAGCATGCCGGCAGGCTCGGAGCTACCTAGAATTTTCTGAGGACTCTGTGCAAGTACCCAGGAATCTGGTTGGTGAGTTGGGGTATGTGTATGAAAGAGAATAGAGGCCAGATGTGAGAGTCTTGAAAGTGATGAAGATCTGCAGCTGGGATTGACACCATTCTGTGGACTTAACAAAGCAAATAGTTTGTCATAGTAGTGATTGTAGTATTTGATTCCATGAAACCTTATCAGATACCTAGGCATAGAAGAGAGATGAGGCTAGAAGACTGTTTGATTCTTTCTTTCATTAAAGAAGGTGGGGGGAGCCTAATTCCTTCTTTATTTATTCAGGCAAAGTGATTGGAAAGAATGGGAAAGTGATCCAGGAGATTGTGGATAAATCTGGTGTGGTGAGAGTTCGTGTGGAAGGTGATAATGACAAGAAGAACCCCAGGGAGGAGGTATGGCACCCAAAGTCTTAGCGATTGATTTCCACAGATGGGAGGGCCAAGAACTTCTAGAGGGTGGAGCACAGAAACTTATGTTTATCCTAATAGTAGGTTGTAATCCCATTGTATGGTGGTAATATTTCTGTTTTACCATCTTTTCTTGATGTGTGCCTCTGCTCTACACAGGGAATGGTTCCCTTCATATTTGTTGGTACCCGAGAGAATATCAGCAATGCCCAGGCACTGCTGGAGTATCATCTTTCCTACCTGCAGGTAGGCCATGCTGGAAGCCTGGGTGTGGGACAGGTTGCATATAGCAAGGGGGTGAGGACTGCTGGCAGAAAACTTTGGGATTGTGGTCCCTAGTTTGTCTCTGTAGAACAAGAGCCATTGGTGAATATTTTAGGTGTGAGGTTAGATCCTGGAAATTTCCTTGTTCAGCTACCTCCTTCTTGTATTCCTGAAAGGTTAGCCATGTAGTGATTATCACAGATACTGTTTCTCCTTCTGTGTGGTCATCCATCTTTTTCCCATCCAGGAGGTAGAACAACTTCGCTTGGAGAGGCTGCAAATTGATGAACAGCTTCGGCAGATTGGTCTGGGCTTTCGCCCTCCCGGTAGTGGACGGGGTGGTGGTGGTGGCAGTGACAAGGCTGGCTATACCACTGATGAGAGCTCCTCCTCCTCCCTCCACACGACAAGAACCTATGGGGGCAGCTATGGAGGCCGGGGTCGGGGCCGGAGGACTGGAGGTCCTGCATATGGTGAGACAGCTGTGGGGCCAGTGAAAGATGCAGAGATCTGGGTGGAAGCTTGGAAAACTGATGGAGGTGAAATGCTTGGCTAGGTGCTTGTGAATGAGAAGGGGGCACTAGTTTGAGGCTGGTGGTGGGTCTTGGGGCAAGATGTCTGTGACCCTAAGTAAACCCTTCTGTGTTCACTAGGCCCCAGCTCAGACCCATCCACGGCATCTGAGACAGAGTCAGAGAAGAGAGAAGAGCCAAACCGAGCTGGGCCTGGTGACCGTGATCCCCAAAGTCGAGGGGAAGAAAGCCGGAGGCGGCCGATTGGGGGCCGGGGTAGGGGACCACCACCTGTCCCCCGTCCCACCTCAAGATACAACTCTTCATCAATTAGCTCAGGTATAAGATAGTTGGTGCTGTGAACATGGGCCCAATGGAGAGACTTTGGTCATCTGACTCCCAACTCTGCTTCTTCATCTCAGTGCTAAAGGATCCAGACAGTAATCCCTACAGCCTCCTGGACACTTCGGAACCTGAGCCCCCTGTTGATTCAGAGCCTGGGGAGCCTCCCCCAGCAAGTGCCAGGCGCCGTCGCTCTCGCCGCCGCCGCACTGATGAAGACAGGACTGTCATGGATGGAGGCCTGGAGTCTGATGGGCCCAACATGACAGAGAATGGCCTGGGTGAGGGGTGTACATAATTTGAGAAGTAGGAAATGGTTAATAATGAGGGTTGAGTGGGTGAATTTTTGCCTTGTTTTTCCACACTCACAGAAGATGAATCCAGACCCCAACGTCGTAATCGTAGCCGCCGCCGCCGCAACCGTGGTAATCGGACAGATGGGTCTATCAGTGGGGACCGCCAGCCAGGTCAGCAGAGCGGGATGCCACATGCCCTGTGGAAACCCAGCATGGGTTCATGGGAAGTTATGGGGCTGAATACATTGGTTCCTTCTGAAATATTTGATCCTCTGCTTTCCCCAGTGACTGTGGCTGACTATATCTCACGAGCAGAATCTCAGAGCCGGCAGCGGCCGCCTCTAGATGGAGCTAAACCCTCAGAGGACTCTCTTTCAGGACAGAAGGTAGGCTGGCAAGATGCAGTGTGCTCTACTCCTTCTTACTGTTGTGGAGCAGGAAGCCCCCAGAATAACCCCAGAAAACTCTTAGTTGCCTAGATGGCTATATCTGGTAGAGTTGAGGCTGCACTGAAGATGGTGCAGACATTGGAAAAGAAAGTTGGGGGGCATGATGCACTGCAAGGGTGATAAGCGCGGGAGCAGGCACCTGATCTTCAGGTGCTCAGGGCTTAGTGGAGAAAATGCCCACCCTTGCCCTACTGACCAGCTGTTTTCATTCCTCTCCTTTCATTCCTCTGTTTACTCCTTAGGGCGACTCTGTCAGCAAGCTTCCTAAGGGGCCCTCGGAGAATGGGGAGCTCTCCGCCCCCCTGGAGTTGGGTAGCTTGGTTAATGGGGTTTCATAAGACCTCTAGCCCACATCCCTCCTTTCTCCATCTCGCTTGCTGCCCACCACCATGGCCCTCATGGGCCCAACTGACCTGCGCTGGAGCTGCTCTTATCTAGGGGGGAGGGGGGTGGCACAGCAGCTTGGGTCCCCCCCAACCTCCAGGAGCTAGTGGAGGGGTGTGTAACAGGGTCATACACCCTCCCTCTTGTCCACCCTACCCCCAGGGCGAGGGGAGCCTCCCCTTCCCCATCAGACTGGATGTGCCTTTATCCTCTAATGCCCCAACCTCTGAGTACCCCCATTTTCCGCCTGTTGGTGGGGGTGCTCCTTGACCCACCCAGATTCGACGGTTCAGGGGGGCTCCCCTGCTATCCCTCCTCCCATCCTGTATCCCCCATTTCTGGGGCCTCATCACTGTGGAAGACGGGGATAGTATGGGTATCCATGGGTGGGAGGCATGGGGAAGGTTTTGGAGTAGAACCAGGGGTGTGTATGAAGGGGGGTGACAAGGTCCCCTAGGGGGAAGGGGATCTAACCTTGTGTGGTGGATGAGAAGGCGTATTTATTTTTCACTGTACAGTATTTAAAAAGAGAATAAAAAATTCCAAATGGTTCTGTGGTTCCTGTGCCTTGCTTGTCCTGCTTGGACCATTGAATCTCCAGGACTGACCTGCCTTGGGACCTGACTTTTGATCTCTGTTCCTCCACACTTGGCCACTCTTCACTCTGTGTGAAGATGGTCTCCTGGGAATTCCTGACATTCCCAAAGTCCCCAGCCCCTGGGACCCTGCTGGTCCAGCAGTGGGTGGCCTTAAGGCCTGGCTGCAGCTTCCTCCCTTGGTTGCTGGTAGGTTGTTGGAGTTGGGCCACTCCTGTTCCCTGAGTCATGGTGGGCTAGGCTGGCTGCTTGAAACTGAGAGCTGGGACTGGCTGCTTAATCCGATTACAATTACCTGAGGCCCGGGGCACAGGTTGGGCCTTGGGCCGCTGGGGGAGCTGGGCTCCTAGCCCAGGGGTCCAGCCCACATTTCCTGGCCTGAGTGCTGCTCTGGCTCCCAGCATCCACATCACTGGCTTCATAGCTCCTGGGAGTTGTGTTGGGTTTGCTGGCTTCATACTTGTGTTAAAACCTGCCATAGGAGCCGGGCGCTGGTGGCTCACCCCTGTAATCCTACCTACTCAGGAGGCTGAGATCTGAGGATCGCGGTTCAAAGCCAGCCCGGGCAGGAGCGACCGTGAGACTCCTATCTCCAATAAACCACCAGAAAACCGGAAGTGGGCTGTAGCTCTAGTGGTAGAGCGCTCGCCTTGAGCTGAAGAGCTGAAGGACAGCGCCCAGGCCCAGAGTTCAGGCCCCTCCCAAAAAACCTGCCATAATTCACTGGTAGTGGAGTAATCTCACATTGGGAACTGGGGTTGGGAGGGCTTGAGTTTTCTCACCTGGAGAAAGGTTGATTCACCTACCAAGCACCTGCTGGAATGACTCAGGAAACAAAAATGGCCTGTCTCCTGCGCCTGCCTTTTCTCGCCCCAGGGGCAGGTCAAGGGTTTTAGAAGCTGTGGGTTCGATTTGGGAGTGGGCCTTCCCTAGTTCCTCCTGCTCAACCCTGAGGGCATCTGACGCCCCTCTACTTATCCTTTTGTGGAAAGGAATTGACTTTGAATTGCCGGTACTTGAGAAGGGAGGGGAGACAATTGGCACAGCTAACCCAGAGTTTTAGGCCTTGGGTGGAGAGGGAGGGCGTGGTGCCTCTGAGGAAGTGTTGGGGCTGCAGAGACCGGGGACACCTGGGTTTGCCTAAGGGCGGTGGATGCGAGCTCGGCCTCTGGGAGGGATTGGGGAGGAGTCTTAAAGCTGTTCCCAGGCTAGCTTGCCAGCCACAGACTCAACAGCGCTGGTGCAGCGCGGTGCAAGGCCTTTGGTCCCTGTGCTGTGTGCCTGGCAGCTGCCAGATCTTCGGAGCCTCCACAGGGCTGACTTCTCAGCAGAGGGTAGGGGAAGAGCGACTAGGGCTTGGGGTGGGGGACAAGTGGAAGCAAAAGAGATCTAAGGAAGACGCCCCCAGGGTAGGGGTGCCAGAGGATTCTGCATTCAGCTCGCCGAAGTGTGCTGAGTGGGAGCGAAGGCGCCTTGTCAAGGACTCTGGGCTTTGGGACGATTGCTACTTTCTAGGGACCCAAGTAAGTGTCTCTGCCACAACTCCACACCAGAGAGACACTGCATTTTGAGGGTTGCAGCCTACTTTGAGGAGTGGACACTCCGGACGCCCTTTTAAGGCTTCCCTTCAAACCATGGCGCTACCGGGCTCCTCACAGGCCCAGGCCTGGAGCCTGGAGCCTGGGACTCCTACAGCTGGTACCTCCTCCTCTTCGGGCCCCCAGGAACTAGAAGGCGCCGGGAGCCCCGGGGCCCTTCCCCTGGAGAAGGTGAAGCGGCCCATGAACGCTTTCATGGTGTGGAGCTCTGCTCAGCGCCGCCAGATGGCGCAGCAGAACCCCAAGATGCACAACTCCGAGATCTCGAAGCGCCTGGGCGCGCAGTGGAAGCAGCTGGGTGAGGAGGAGAAGCGGCCCTTCGTGGAGGAGGCCAAGCGCCTGCGCGCCCGACACCTGCGCGACTATCCCGACTACAAGTACCGGCCTCGGCGGAAAACCAAGAGCTCGGGCCCCATGCCTGCCCACTATGGCCAGGGAAACTACAGCCTGGCCTGCGGGGGCCCGCTCTGGGGAGCAGGATATACAACCACCCAAGGGAGCAGAGGCTTTGGGTACCAGCCCCCCAACTACTCTACACCCTACCTTCCTGGCAGCTACGGGTAAGTGGAAAGCGGGGCGGAGGTGGCCTCCGAGGCCACACCTCGCTGCGGTTGGGAGGGTCCTTGTGGCTCAGGTTTCCCCAGAGGGCCTTCTCTACTGAGCTTTGTGTGTTGTAGTTACTGGGATGCCCCATTTCCCCGGGTTTCTGGCCTGTGTGTGACCCAGCTTCCTCTCCCAGCCTCCAGGGCAAGGAGAGGCCAAGCCCATTCTGCCCCAAAAGAGGAAAACAGCCGTGCAGCACGCAAGCCTGCTCCTGAGCATGCCCTGACAGGGCTTCCCTGCTCTCCTAAGCCTTGCTAGGGTCTGATTCCATGGCTGATGTACCCAGCATGGCTGGCTGGGTGGCTGGAGTTCTACCCCTGCCTACTTAGAACTGGCCAGACCAGTCCCCCACCACCCAGAGGAGTAACACCCCCCTTCCCCCATTTGTTTCTCTTTGCAGCTCTTCTTCGCACTATAGACCAGAGGCCTCCACACCAAGCTCCCTCCCTCACAGTGACCCTAGGCTCCAGGGGGAACTGCTGCCTCCCTATGCACCCTACCCATCCCCAGGTTCTCCTCCATACAACACTCCCCTTGCTGGTGCTCCGTGCCCCTAGCCCACCTTCCACACACACGGACCTCTCACGTCTCAGTAAATGAATGCCACATCCTCTTTCCATCACAGAACCCTCTGAATTTTGGTTTAGAGGCTTACAGTCGAAGCAAAACCACACTAAACCCATTTTTGTACAATTAAATCTTGTGTGGAGTCTTTATTGTCCCATCCACCATCACTCCACAGCAGCAGGAACCAGTGCCATCTCCACTCCCTTCCGCCAGGACCTGCCAGAGCAGGAAGCTCCTCACCCCACCCTGGGGCCTGCCTGAGTCATTCTGTCCCCCTTCCCCCACTCCCAGTACTGGGGTCTAGAAGACAGTTCCAGCCAGGTTCAGGGAAGAAGGCAGCCACAAGCCCCGCCCCACACACCTCCGTCCCTCTACCCCTTGGTCCAACCTGTCTTGGTCCAACCTGTCTTCTAGAGGCAGAAAAATAACTGGCAACTCAGCCAAACATGAGAATGAGTAGATAGTACATGAATGGTCTTAGAAAAGCTTTACTGTCTGTTTCCACTAAAAACAAACCGTGGCTCAGGAAGTTGCAGTTGCCCAGGAATGGATGACTAAACGTCACACCAGCAGACAGGCTCACATGGGGTGGACCCTTGAGTGGATGGACCGAACCAAGGAATGATTCCAGTAGCTGATCTGATCTGCTGCTCAGCCCTACTGTTCCTTTTTCTGCTTCTGGGGTGGCTTTGAGTTCCAGTAGAAGAGGACTTGAGCAGCAATGAGGCCATTGCAGAGAGAGGAGACCACGAAGACTCCAGCCATGAGGGGGTCTCCAGTTTCCTGGTGGTGAGAAAGAGCCACCCTTCAATGGAGCTCAAGAAAGGTTACTCTTAAGGACAAAGGTTTAGTCCTCAGCTGAGAGGGGTAAGATGAAGTTTTAGTGCCCTCTAGAGGGCAGAAGGTGCACTCACCTGAATGGAAGTGAAGATGCGTGTCAAGGAGCCTCCAAACAGCAAAAAGATTGTGATGGCTGAGAGTTGGCCCGTGTGTCCATTTCGGTAGTTTGTGGCTGCCTGGAGCAGCTAGGAGAGAAGTTGAGACCTTTGGTGTTCTCAGCACCATGTACCATCTCTGACTTTCCCATCCCCCTCAGTCTAAATCCCCATCCTTTGGGCTTCCACTGTGCCCCCCTCGACCTTACCCCACTCCCAATACCCACCTTTCCCACCACCACAGCAGGCACATTGGAGGCCTGAAGCAGGGTGACTACAGCCAAAGGCATGAGTGGTGAAAGGAGTACCATCAGGACCAGTGCATAGCAGGCGAGGAAGGCAACCCCTGCGGGTCAGAAACAAGGCATCATTAGTCTCATTGTGTCTTCTAGCTTCCCCAGGCCTGAGGTTTCGGCATTCAGCACACTTCCCAGAACCACGGGCCAAATCCCCTCACCTTTCACAGTTTGTCCTCTGAAGTGCATGACCAGGAAGCAGATGGTAATTGTTTGCAGCGTCAGGAACAGGGCTTCGCCCCAAGAGCTGCAGAGTCAAGAGTTGGGGGGAAGAAAGGCAGGCCTGGAAAGGGGCACGGAAAGCCTCCATGGCCGGTCCATCAGGGACACAGTTTTGGGTACCCTGACCCCTCCAAAACACAGCCTTCACCTATGATATCAATAAGGGTGGGCATTTTTGAGATCTCACTTTTCTCCCCCTGGTGTTGGTGTGGAAACTTCTGGAAGAGCTTAAGCTTTCCTACCCTTTGGCCTTCCTGAACCTTAATCCCCCACCAGAACTATACCCTTGGAGATAAAGGACGAGGGGGTTCTCACCTGAAGGGGAAGTTGTTGGTGATGCTGTAGACCACAGTCCCGGTCAACGCCACTAGCTCCAGCAATACTGACTGGAGACTCAGCCCTTCTGCACTCTTGGCTCCCAGAATTTTAAATATCTGAGGCAACTTCACTAGGGAAAGGATAAGAAGAGCTAAGCTGAGGAGTCCCAATCCCTTGGCAACACAATAAGGCAGCTACATAATGTGTTGGGAAGCATATTCACCTCACTTCTGTGAAGGAAACCATAGGATATATATAGCCCCGGGAGCTCCCTCTGTTCCCAGCAGTAGGAAGGGAGGATTAAGATACATACCTAGAAGTGACCCAGCCACAATGCCCAGCCCCAGGCCTTTGCTGAGGAGAATCTTGAGGCAGGGAACTGAGAAGAGAAAAAGAGCAGAACTATGAAACCCAGA